ATTATTATTATTATTATTATTCCCCCCAGGCCAAAGTGCCAAAATTCAAATAGGGTAGTTCAGTTTTTGCATTTGACTCCGAGATGTTTGGATTAGACAATCTAAAATTTTAATGCAATAAACCTACACCTCTCTGATTTGTCAAAACATTTATAGATGATTAAAGAATATACACTCTTCACAATATGCCTTTGAAAGTTAAAAGTCAGATGTTGCATTGTTTAGGGGTGGATGTAGCATCTTATTAATACAATATATTTCACTGTGAATAGGTTATTTTCAGATTATTACTAAATTTATTTTTTCAAGTTATATCAGTTATTCTTTTTGATCAAAAGATAAATGTTTGCCTTGAGTAGACAAAAGGTCAAAGGCTCAAATCGTTTTAAAATAGTTTGGCTTTCGTTGACAGGAACAATGAAACAATTTGAGGCAATTAAATTTTAAAAGCACAACTGCAGAAAATCCATCTTAAAACAAAAAATGAATACCCAATACCTGTTTAAGTAACTTAATTTAAACATTTTAACATCTTTGTGGTCTGTATTTATATGAATTTATTGTGAACTCAGTTCTTAGGGGGTTTATTGAAAATACATTAAAAAATAAATAAACTTTAAAAAAGGATCACAGCTCTTTGTGTGAGGAGTGTGTGGCTCTTAAAAGAGCCGTTGTGGTCCTCTGCAGGTCTTTACTTGGACTTGGCGGGCTTCTCGGTCTTCTTGGGCAGCAGGACGGCCTGGATGTTGGGCAGCACTCCGCCCTGAGCGATGGTCACTCCTCCCAGCAGCTTGTTCAGCTCCTCGTCGTTGCGGACAGCCAGCTGCAGGTGACGGGGGATGATCCTGGTCTTCTTGTTGTCCCGGGCAGCGTTACCGGCCAGCTCCAGGATCTCAGCCGTCAGGTACTCCAGCACGGCGGCCAGGTACACCGGGGCTCCGGCACCGACCCGCTCTGCGTAGTTTCCTTTACGCAGCAGCCTGTGGACACGGCCCACCGGGAACTGGAGCCCGGCACGGGACGAGCGGGTCTTTGCCTTGGCTCTGGCCTTTCCGCCGGTTTTACCTCTTCCACTCATGATTCGTTTGTGGACAAAATGGGACGAGACTCCGAGCTGAAGCCTCCTTATATGTGTGCAGAACGGCGGCGGCGGCTCGTGTCCTGAAGACCAACCAGAGGAGGTCGGAGCTGCGCGCGGCCCGCTTTGAAWGTGAGCGGGCTCTGGGTGCGGACGGTTTGTCCAATAAGCAGCGGCCGTTCAGGCGGAGCTGCTCGCTGTGACCAATGAGGAGCTGCCTTGGCAGATTTTGGCGGTAGGCTTGAATTTGTTGGCGGAGCATGAACTGTGCATTGAATGAATGAAAAGAAATATAAAGAAAAGACAGGAGAGAGCGAGAGGCTGGTCAGAAGAGAGTGAATCAAGAGAATATATTAGCAAAAATCAAAAATAAATACAAGTCAGAGAAAACAAACACAAGAAGTGCAGACTAACAAGGAACAAGAATGGAAAGTTATGATTGAGTTCAAACAGTAGGGGGGGGGGGCAGTTTCATCCAATTAAACTGACAAAAGCCATTGAGAAAGAGATTGGGAGAATTAAACTGGCCAGGCTCATGAATAATAGGAAAATACTTATCCATGCAGAGAACAAACAACAGCAAGAAAAAAAATTAGATGTCAACACTGGTTGGAGAAACAATTAAAGCATACAAACCTGGAACACTTACAAAACTAAAGAGAGTAATATCAGGAGTACCACTTGACATAACAATAGATTAGGGTTGGGTAATATTGACAAAAAATTAATCACGATTAATTGTGGTATTTAGCCGATAACGATTAATTTGACGATTAATCCCCTGGAGTCCCTGGACACCCTTATATCCTAGTCACATGATCAATTTATAGGGAGAAAATTGGCTCTTCGTAAAAATCTGTTCCAAATTGTGTCAAAACTACAGACTTTAGGCTACACATCAAACTTTAAATTGTGTTGATAGATAAATAAATTACACAATTTTTTTAAATGTTGGTCATATTTGAATCAGAGAGGAGCACCAAGCGGTTAGTCTACCTGGTGGCATTAATCGTATTAATTGTCAAGTGCCAAAAATTAATCGATTAATGTTTTTCTGGCGATTAATTGCACACGATACGATTATGCCCAACCCTACAATAGATGAAATCAAAAATGAAATCAAAGGAGGGAAAATTACAGAAGCAACAAGGTTCAAAAATAAAAAAAAATGGAGCTGTAAAAGATACCATGTCAGTAATATTGCACTTTGAAAATGTAATGCCTGAATCTATTCAGATTGGATATGTAAACTTCAGAGTAAGAACTTATACTCCAAATATGTCAAAGAATGGGACATGTTGCAAAAGAATGCAAAGGAAAAGTACGATGTGCACGATGCAGTGGTCCTCATGAGTATGGAAAATGTGAAAAAGATTCAAAAAGTGCTGTAACTGTGGAGGTGAGCATAGTGCAGCTTATGGTGGTTGCATGGTGCAGAAAGAAGCAAGGGAAGCTCAGTTAAAACAGAAAATATATGCAGAAGCAATAAAGAAGGTCAGGTATGAAGATACAAAATACATGAGAAC